GAGATGGTTGAAATACTTTTTGATGTTTGAGCTGGGAAGTGTGCCCACAATGAAGTCACATCCTGGGCCCTTGGCACCAAGTCACAAATGGGATTATTCTTCCCTCGGTTTCCTGTATTGTCTTTCTCCTCATCACATAGGATGTGGCGTTGATGTATTCAAAGATGACCCCAGCACCATCTCACAGCCTGCCATACACATCTTTGTGAAACCTATTCCTCTTGAGTATATTGAGGACCTGTGGCTTCTCTCTAAGCAAGAGAGAACAATGAACATGGTGGAGCAACTGTGGGTCCTTTGCTGCTGTCTCTGACTATCCTTGACCACACAGCAGGAGACTGAATTGCAGGAGACCAGGCAGCCAGTCTCTGCTGGATTGCTGAAGAAGGCCTGCCTACCTGAAAGTCTTAGCAAAGCCAAGGACTGTGGGACCCTTCCAGCCAATAAGCAACACATAATTGAGACCTTTAACATACAGGCCACAGGTGAATCAATTCTGTCAATACCACCTTCTGCCCATGCATATTTTGATGGATATAAGGAGAGGTATTCCAGTTTAAGACCACTATGAATAAAACTTAAATATATTCACATTCAACTCTCTGTATGTATGTGTTTTTTATTATGGTCAAATAGGAAGCTGGTGGTTGAGTATCATTTGAGTTATATGTAGTACGTATAACAGCGATTTTAGTTCACATTCTCACCCTTTATGGGCACACATGTGTGTGTATGGTGTGTGTACAGCTATGTATGTGTGTGCACACATGCGTATGTTCAATTATAGTTGCTTTATATCTTGCCTATAATTGATACAGGCATTTAAAATATTATATACTTGAATGAGTTTCCTTATTTCATTTGAGTCAACTTTTGTGGTACCCCATGGAATCTATAAGAAACAGGATTTTTATTTTTATATAAATATACATACAAAAAATTGGGTGGTATGTGTGTGCACTCGTATATATCACAAATATATATATATATATATATGATCATCTATTCAATAAATATCTGGTGTGTTTAATGGTATTTTGATTTCCAGAATTTTTCCTTGACTCCACCCCCTTTCCACTTGTCATTATGGTTACCAACCTAGGCTGTAACCAAAGCCTTATACTTTGTTTGAAGCAGAACATCATTAAGTTTCCTGGAAGAAGATGGACCCACAGAACCACACAGGGTGACAGATGGAGCTTGAGTAAGGTTCCATGCCGTCTACTATAGCTAGTGCCCTGATCCCCAGGAATGATGGTGCCTAGGGAAATGGAGAACCAGGAAGAATTTAATAATACCCAGTGGAAGTCAGCCACTTCCCTTGGAATGAGCCTCTCATGGTTTAGCTATTGCTAAAACAAACACAAATTAATTAATTAATTAATTAATTAGCAAATAAATCTCTGTCAGTTCTATTTTGAGAGCTAAGAAATAATACAACAGATGCCATTTTTGAAAAGTCAGCAGGTACCAGGCTGTGTGCAAGGCGTCGTCTGATGACGGCAACCCTGCCACTCTGCTTGAAGGCGATGCTCACCTCCTTACTTCTCAGATGTGAAGAGCTCATCTCGGGGTGGGTCAGTGACCTCAGGCTAGGCACGTGGCTAGCAACAAGCAGCAGATCTTCAGGCTTCAGTGTGCTGTCTTCTCATCAACTGTGGCAAATGGAGACACAGAGATAAAGGAAGGACCCGGCCAGCCCTCGCAGAGTGGTTGTAAAGATGGCCTCACCGTTCCAAGACTGAATATCAAGCTTATTTTAGCCTCTTCAGTTTCATTGTACTTTAAATTATGCTTAATTACATTTTAAATGCAGCACATTCGATAGTGCCACGAGACGGCTGGTACAAGTACAGTTAAATGACATCACCATGCAAGTGACATACAGGGCCATGAGCAGCTGGACTTCACAGTTTCAGAGCGTGGCACTGGTAATGTATTTTAAGCAATGATGCAGGCGTCTCACAAGGAGGAGCACACTACAGCGTTCGTTAGGTCATTCAACAAGGGCTAGTTGGATTTTCACCCAGATGATATTTGAATATAAAACAGGCAGCTAAATGCTTCAGTTTTCCCCTTGGTTGGGCATTTAAAAAAAACCTAGTCAAGATGAGTTTTATATTAGTTCTGTAACTTTTAGAAGTAACTTTAAGAGTTCACACTTTGTGGATTTTATTACCTGGGATCATTTTTTTTTCCTGATATGCCCTGCAGATTTGCTTTGTCAGGGCTCCTGAGATAGCATAGCTGTCCTGTGCTTGCCACACAAACTGAGAACCTGAGCTTTACATCCAGACCCCATGGAAAACAGAGGCCCAGTGACCCACTGGTAGCCCTAGCATCTGAGGAGTGATGGAGATACTGGAATCCCTCAGGCTCACTGGTGAACCTAGCCAAATTGGTGAGACCCAGACCAATAAAAGACCACGTCCCACAAAAATAGGGCCAATGGCTCGTAAGGAACATGGGAAGTTGGCTCTGGCTTCTACACACATGTAGATGCACGTGCACAAGCATCTGCGCAGCCATACAAAGAAACACTGAAACAGAAATGTTTAACATTCTACTTCCTGCTTTTCTATGGGGTTGGCATGGCTCAGGTCAATTCCTTGAATGTGGTCTCTAGTTACTATTTCCACAAGCTGATGACCCACTGCTTCCAGTCGCTGCCTCTCCTTGAACACCCTCTCCGATTGTTCAGATGAATAGCTCTAAGCTTTCAACTGAAGGAACGTCTCTCTTGATATCTGGGTCAGAGCCAGCCATGCCTACTCATAAGCTTATGTGATACCAAAATATATGCCGCCATATAGAACTGGAGGAACACTTTTTGTTTTAATCTTATAGAATATCATTTACCATGGAAACATTCTGATGGCTTTTCTCATGGAGGCCCTGACAGTAAATGTGGGCTTTGAAGGCCACAGGGCCTGCTTGTGAAGACATACTTACCTTGAGAGTTCCCAAGCTCACCTAAAGCCAAGTGCCAGTGAATGTGCCATGTGCCTTTAGTTATGAACACTACCATTCGAACCTTACATGATTTCCAAGTCACATACAAGAGTACATTCTCTCTGTGCTTTTCAATAATTAAAGAACGTGAAGACATTTCCCAGGCCATGAACTTAAGATATACAGGCACTGGTCTAATTGGGTCAGAAGGCTGCTGGTTTGTTCACTTCTGCTCTGGTATGGCCAGTGACCCTCTGAGTGGCTGGTGAAGATTGTAACATTGTGTCCTGATGCTTATGTCCAGACACACAGACTCACCAGAAGGAACTACAGGATTGGGCAATGCTGAGATTCATTGCAGCAAAATGGCTTGAAGCAAAAATCTACAGATGGATAGACACAGGGGAGAGGGCAGAGCCCCATGGGAACCAGTGGGAGCTGGTCATACAGGCATTCTTGCCTAGAGATTAACAGAATTCTAGACAGCCTGAGGGGAAAGAGGTACTAGACAGGAGTTACATCTATTGTCTAAGCAGCTCTGTTAATCACCCATATCACAGATGCCACTTCTCAGAATTTCAAGTTTCCAAACACCAGCCAAGAGCCAACACTGAAGCAGGCCTCCCTGACAACAGTAGCCCAGGGCCTGCTTTCTGCACTTTGTCTGGGCTTACCAGTGGCCTGTACACCAGCAATCTAAAGGTTCAAATTCCAGCAGCTATAGAATAACAATACCTTTCAGCTGGAGCTCAGACTCCTACAAGTCTTCTGTTCCTTCCTAGCATCGTGTGTGTGTGTGTGTGTGTGTGTGTGTGTGTGTGTGTGTGTGTGTG